TATGCACTTTATCTTCCTTCCCCAGTTTAGTGCTCTCCAAAGCTATTTTTGCAGATCCACATTCTAACTATTGGGCCAAGAAAATAGCCATTCCTAAGCCCAGGATTCACTTCTTACTCCAGAAATCCAAGGACATCATAAATTCTGGAGCCCTTTAAAGATCTTGTATCCCCATTTTATGTTATTCATATCAAAGGGGATCATAATTTGGAATCTCAGCAATTACAATGTCTAGGTAATTCAGTTAAAGGATAAACCTGGCTCGGTTTTTGCAGGACAAATACATTTGATGAAATGGTCTCAAATTCCACATCACCAGTTCTGTAATAGCTATCAGCTTTTTGTTTGAGGAAATTTTAGGATGTGATCTATATTACATTTTTCAATCAAGACTTTCCTAGCCAATTTGAAGAAAACTGATGAATGCAAAGCGTCCAAGCACAAAAAAGAGAGCCCAATTTTCACTGATTTTGCCCCCTGATTTTCTTTAAAAATCAACACATTCTCTTCCACAATCTCAATGGTCTATCGATACGTAGAGGTCGCATCGCCAACTATTCATCCTTTAACTCAGTGTTTCTCAACCTCAGCAATTTTAATATTTGCAGACCTCAACTCCCAGAATTCCCCAAGCAGAACTGTATTAAAAGACTTTAGTGAATGAACTTTGGACCTTCTTTATTTAAAACATGATCTCTACTTCTGTTTTGTCCTCTGAGTTTGAGTTTTAATAGAGATATTTATGCATTCTAATGTACCCACAACTTCTAGTAGATACAGATTTTACTTCCATAAATTTCTCTACAGCATCTTTACAAGAATTTCACCAACTGTGTATAATAATCAGTTTTCTCTAACAGAGCAACCCCAGATTTTTCATTATAATTCCTGCTATTCCTTTCTACTAGCAAGAATACCTGATACCTATTATTTTTCATTTCCTAAATAAAGCATTTTGTAAAGTTTCTTTTCTGTTCAACTTTCTTAGCTATGAAATTCCTAATTCACACTGGGGAATGGCCTATAAGCAGCAAAAATGGAATTCAAAACTAGGCACCATGTTAGTCTGAGAAGCAACTGAGAAATGTAGATGAATAATGTTTGGGCAAATCATAACTTGAACATTAGTTTCCTGATTAATGTGTAACTGGTTATAAAAAGATAGGGGGAGGGAAGACTTGAGAAGATAGCCTTGCTGAGGAGACAGGATATCCTTTGTTTGCAATCTCTGTTAAACTGTCCCTGGCAAATGCAGAAACTGTAAACTCTTTTAATGCTCAGCAGTTGGGAGAAACATTCCAGAGCAAGCAAGAATGGGCCCTGCTGTCTCATTACAGTTCACATGCGGTTCTGTTTGGCCGAAATCTGCATCTAACACACAGATTTATGAATAAATGGGATGGCCTGGCAAAGCACACGATGCACACAAAGGAAAGAAACAAGATATTTTAAAATTGCCAGATGGGAAGATGGATTTTTCCTGCCTGTTGCGTATTTATTCATTTTGGGCTTTTCTTGTGATGTCTGTGTGCGTATGTAGGGAGGGGAATATGTATTTCAGGTGGCAGATAACAGTCAATTAATAACAATAGCCTCCTTTGGGGGAATAAGAGAGGCCAGAAATGTATTTGTTAGCAATATGCACAGAAGGATATCCAGCACCAAGGACTGGATATAAAACCAATTAAACAGCCTCAACTGAACTAGGTTCCCCTGCTGTGTGCTAAGCATTTCAAACACCTTGAATCAAGTCTGAAATCCTACTTGATTGAAGTTGTGCAAGGGGCTGCATAAGAAGAAAGTCTCCTGAATATTCTAAGCTGATTGGGGTTGGGATATTATTAACAGAGACCTCCAGCATTCACTGCAATTCTATGCAAAAGGGCATCATCAGCTCATCTCCATACCAGCAATACCTGTTCAGAAATGCAAAGTGCAAAAATGCAGCCCCTTGGGAAACAAAGCAGGCTACCTCGGAGTGACTCTACCCCCCAGGAGGCAAAACACGCTTTTCAAAGGCACCCAAGCCCTACAGCCATGTTGCTGACCCCTTCCTAGCCACTGCTGCTGCCTCACTGGTCCATCTTCACTAAGATTCCTTTCTTGCAAAGTTTCACAACCAAAGATATCTTGGTGTAGAAGTTCTGCAACTTTGGTTCTTGAGCTGCAAGGATTCCAACTGCTGGCCAAATAAGGGTTTTAAAACAAAAATGGGACAAGTATGGCAGGAAGAGCAAGAGTGATACAGAGGGGAAGACATGCAGGAAGGAAGGAACATGGGGTAATGGACAGCTTGTGGATTGAAAGCACCCCCATAATAGGCATTCTGAAGAAAACACTCCAGCCAGGAAGATACGTTATTCACTATGGCTGTTTCCAACACTGGAAAAGTCTTAGAATTTGGGCTGGAACTGTTTTCGTTACAACTTTTGTAGGAACGTCCATTTTCAGCAAGAACCCAGTCCCAGAATGCAGGGTGACCTCCACAGCACAGCTTTGAAATCATTAGGAATCATAGAAGTCAACCAATTCTGAGACAATGAGCCTTTTACTGGGGAAGGGGTAAGATTCCTTGCAAGTCACAAAGGAAACTGATCCAGGATGTTCAAGCTCAATAGCAAATCTGAGATCTACTTTCACATTTAGGTTTAAAAGAGCATGCTTAAATTAGCTCACTGGCTGCTTGTTTTAGCTTCCAGGGCAGTTATGAATCATTTGTCACCACTTGGCAATCACATATAGAACGTTTATCCCTTATACTAGTTTCTTATTGCACAGCTTGAATTTTCATGCCAGCGTCATGCAATCAGTTTTGTAGAGAACTTCACAGGGGGAAGCGGGGAGAAAATATACATGAACCTGCAATTTCACCCCCTGCCCCCCAGTAATATAAATAGAATCATCAAACTACATAAACAAATTCAAATATTCTGAAACCATATTATACTGTCTGGAAAGTCTGCCGTATTTTAGACGGCAGAACTGTAATATTTTTCTAAGCCAAATGCAAAGTTTCACATGCTTTGTAACACCTACTCTTCAGAATGGCAAAGCACACATTTTCATACTATATAGTATTCTCCAGCCCGCAAAAAGGGAGAGCAGATACTCATAAAGACTGTTGTCTACCAGACGACCCCACTGTCAATTACACTCTGAGGCAGCTTTCTATGATTCTGAAGAATAACATAAAGTAGGTTATGCCCACTCTCTAAAAACTAAACAGAAAACCAAATGATGACAATCCAGGTTATCTAAGCAAATTGGTGAACATATTATGTTCCAGGTTTCTACCGTGTATATTCTGTTACATTGGTGGAAGAAGAAAATACATGAACTTGCTGTACATTGCTATATATGTAATTAAAAATTACACATTGTAGGCATTTCCTTCCAGACCTGGGTAGAAAAACAGCCTTTTCAGATCCTTTAAACTATTTCGTATAATGGCTGAGACAAGTTCTCTCTTCCCTTCAAAATCTGGATATGTTTTCTAAAAAAAAGCTTGCATTTTTCACAATTAAAAACCATCCAGGTTCAGGGATGAAATGAATGTTGTAGCTTCTGCATTATGTAGAAGAACCCTTTTTTAATCCGAATTATTGGCTCTAATAAAACTATTCCCCACTTGCTATATCTAAACTACAATTGCCCAGAATTTTCCCCCATAAAATCATACAAAAATAGTGCAAGACTTTTTGATAGAACACCAGTTGCAGAACACTGAAATCTGACAATCGTGGTCCTTGTCAATTTCAAAAAATTGCAGAAAGTTATTTTACATGAAATGCAGTAAAGCCTGTTTTCTGTATAGATTCTTTCAAAAGACTTGTAAAAACAAGCTATTTAGATGTTTTTACAATACAGCACACTGATGCAACCAGTAGTCATTTAGATGTTATTTATATTTTCCTAAAGTTTACAATATGTAACTTCCTAACACAAATTATACTTTCTCATTAACAAGTACTTCTAATGGAGAAATAGTCTTATCAGAATACATTAGAGATTTCTAATATTATCTAGTCAAAATATGAAATCTACAATTAATTCATTAGTAGATAAGTATTGAAAATATAATTACATTGCTATATAGACAGAAAAATCTACATAGCCAACAACAAACAAGCAACATGAGAATTTTATGAGAGATTTATATTTATTTATTTATTTGCATTTCTAAAGCTATACATAAGCTTCAACAATAGACAAGTGAAATGCTGTAGCTTAGTCTGTATTTGCTATTATCTTTGCACACAATACTAGTTCACTTTCCTAAAAAAAAAGAAAAACCAAAAAACTTCTTTTACTTGCCAAAAAACCCTGCCCTCAGTCAAGGTCACACAAAGTTTTGCTCAAGTTTAGACGAAACACACTAATATACACTAATAGAGATGTGGAGGGGGTGTACCTAAAAGCTTGCCAGTATTTCCTCCTTTCTTCTAAACTCCCTAGATTTTAAGTAATTATGGAGTATAAAAATGGTTAAACAATTCCATATGAGGTAAAGACAGAGGAAGGAGGGAGGGAGGGTGAGAGAAGCAGAAGTCCTTGTTTCCTGGCAGACATTTTGGCTCTTGTTTACATTTGCAGTCTGTGTTTCTCTTGTTGCAGAGCAATATGGCTGTCTGTAGAGCTGACAGCTTTGAATGCACAACCACTGCTGGCTGCAGGCTCTTGTTCCCTCCCAGTATCAAAGGTTGTGTAAAATTATGCAGACGTTGCATATCCAAGACAAGGAGTTCCTCCTCGTATTTACATGGCTTGGCAACTCAAGCACTGCTCAGCGTGGTCTTTTATTTCTCTTTTAGACCTGCTTTCCAAGAGGTAGGGGAAAAAAAGCTAAGGATAGTTTGTATCTGTTCATGGAAACAAGAAAAGCTCAAGGCATTAAAACATACACACAGACTATTTACCTCATGTAAATTTCCAGTGCTCACAAAAGGAGGGGGGGAGGATTGTGAGGAATAATATGAACCTGAGAACTTTGAACTACTTACCATTTGATGATGGTGATGGGTGTTGGGAATGTTGGTTTCTTGAAAAAATGCACTCAAAGCCGTCTATGTTTAAAAAAAAAAAAACAAATACACAAGCCTACTGTTAGAACAAGGGGCCACAACTCCAAGGGAAAAGTCAAGTCAGAGGGTAGGAACAGCAATGTATTTTTTTACAGGGACATTCTTGCCGGCCCATTACTCTCCCTCCTCTTTCCATTTTTTTAAAGCACTGATCTAGGACAATGCTAATTTTTCCTCTCCCTTTGGGGAAGAAAGGGGAAAAAAAAGGAAACCATAAACATGGCACACAAGAGGACAACATACCCATCGGTAATCATTGTCAGCCTCAACTAGGTTTTCTAACCCACAAGCCAATAGACCACAGCACCTTTCCTTAGGTAGGTGCCATCCTCCAAATGGGAACAAAGTGAACTGTAGTCCAACACAGTAGGAAGAAAGCTGGTCTGGGAACATTTTTAAAATGTAATAAGAAAGTCTCTATCCCTAACACTTTAAAAAATTGGCAGAGCAACAAAAATGTGTAGTTTTAAAAGGCAACATGGGGGTGGGGTGGGGATTGGCTTCATGGCCGATCGCTTTCCTAAGTATAATGCTATGCCTAGCAGAAATGGACAAAGGCATTTATCTTTATTGATGCCAAGGGCTTGGCTGAAACCAATCTTTTTCCTCCTCATTGTGTAAATCAAAACAGAGGAGGCATTTAAAACATTGTGGCTAGACCAGGGAAGGATTCGGCCATATGTAAACAAACAAGACTCCTTTTAAAAGCAAGAATTTCTAACCACATCTCAACATGCTATCTAGTTTCTTCTCCAGCTAAATAAAGACCACACATACGAAGCAGCAAATTATTAGCAGGCCTAGTTCAGAAGCTAACGTCCCTAAATAATGGGGGGTGGAGGGAGAGACTGCGGGGGGGGGGGGGCGGGACAGTCTCCTTGATATTCCTTTGCTTCCAAATCGGGTGCCTCGCTCAGGAATGAAGTAAAGGGGGATGGGTGGGCAAGATAAAACCTTCACACTCAGCCCCCCTCTTCGGGTTTTTTTTTTGTTTTTAGGAGATACGTGCACTTCCATGGAGGAATATTTTAAAGCCATTTATTCCATCTGAATGCTCGAGTCAGCCATCCACTCCCCCCCCCCCAAGTAGGCTGTATGATCACGCGTCCTGCACTCTCGCCGCCTGGCCAATTCAAGATTATTAATGTTGTCCACTCGCTTCTCCTCCTCCTCCCCTTTTTCCCACGACCAGCAGCAACAACAGATTAGTCAACACGCAAAGGCCTAGCACATTCCTAGCCCCGGAAGGCACTTCATTGTAGAAAGAGACAGTAGTTATTAAAATGGCTCTGATGGATTGTTTACATGCCCAGTGCCAAGGAAAGGCTCCCTCGCCTTACACGGGGGGGGGGGAGGAAGGGGGCAGGGCAGCAGAATATCCCTTAAACCACCGTAGCCACCACCGACCCCAGACCAAAAAAAATTAGTTAAGGCGTGGGAGGGCGGTCGTAGTGATTCTTTCCCTCCCCCCCGCAAAGAAAGGCGGAGAGGGGAGAGACGGAGAACCAGAAAAGCTCGCAACGCACCTCAAATTGCCAATGTGCAGCTTGCAGTAGCTGCTTCGCTTGATCCGCCGCACAGCCCGCAGCCAGCACGAACTGGTTAATCATGACTTGATGCCGAAGCTCCTCCATATTCACCGACATGGCGAGAGAAGCGAAACCACAACACGGAAGGGAGGAGGAGAGCCAAACGCACTCAAGGTGGTGGCGGTGGTGGAAGAGGCGGCGGCAGGGATACGTGTTTTTTGGGGGGAGGAAAAAAAAATCGACAAAGGCTTCTTCTCCTCCTAGCCCGAAATGCCAGGCGCCTTCTCTGCTCCGAGGCTTTAAGCTAGTCCTCTCGCCGGGTTTGAGCCAAGCCGCCTCTCGGCCTCTATAGCTTCAGTCGGCAGGAACAAGGCTGTGTTGATATTTCCCCTTCCCCTCTCGTAGTTCTTCGGCAGCTAAACCACCACAAACAACAGCATCTAGGGGAGGAGCATGTGGAGAGAATCGGGGTGGGCAGAGGGGGAAGCCGGAGGTGCCTCAACGTTCGATTCCACGCTTTCTTAGCCCGCTGATTGGTTGCTGCAGTATTCTCTGCGTGTATGAACGTTCGATTCGAATCTTCCAGGCGGTGGATGTTTCTCTTTCTTGCTCCCACCCTTTCTGCCCCGTTGCTTATATTTCATTGGAGGAAGTAAACTCTCAGGTTCCTTGCTCATTGGTTAGCTTCAGTGTTTTGGCTGAGAACGGGGTCATTATTGGTTCTTTTTTTCTCGTAAGGGAGGGGTAAAAACTATGCTCTTGTTTGAACTGAACTGGAAATTCTACTCCCTTTGTTGATTGGCTGCTTTGCTCCCTCCGCCTCCCGTTCTTTTTTCCACTGTTGTAAAAAAAAAAAAAAATAGAACAAAAAAAGTATAGCTATAGACAACAAGTTCATTGATAAACTTCTGGGTGACAAATATACCCAGCTGGAAAAGCAAGGATGTGCAGCAGTGTCTCATTTCCTTTGAAAATACATAATTATCCTGAAAGCGAACTTTATCATATAATAGAAAAAAAGGTAGAACATTCACCGTTCTTATCGGAAACTACGCTCTCGCGAACTTCCGGATCCTTATTGCTCAGAGAATGAAGATCGGAAATGTTTTTTTAGAAATCTATATTAGTTTCTTCTACTTAAGTCATAATGGAATGAACTGGTACCGGTAGTAATAACTTCCTTTTGAAAAACCCACAGTTTTATAGAAATACGGAACTCGGGGTTTTTTTTCTCTCTCTTTCATTTTTCTTTTTTCTTTCTTTTTTTGACCTTGAATGAAAGAAAGCCCAATCGCACGCCCAACATTTGCGGCCCTCTAAAATGGAGGCGGTCCCCTTCAGTCAGTTCCTGACAACTTTTTGCTGTATACTGACAGATGTGAATCACAGTTAACATAGGTTGGACTGACATTATGAGGTGGGATGGAAAATTGACTTTTCATCTTAGGGGTCATTGCCTGGCCCTAACACGAAAAGGGCAGCTCTTAACAAAAATATCCACCACTTTATTTCAAAGTGTAGTCACCTAGGAGTGCTAACTACTTATACAACTGCTTTTAGTACATGGCAGCTCCATTTAGGAATGAGCCGAGTTTTATGACTTTTCTTGCCACATTTGTTAAGTGAATCACTGCAGTTACTTTAGTTAACACAGTTGTTAAGTGAATCATGCTTCCCCATTGACTGTGCTTGTCAGAACGTCACAAAGGAGCCCAGGAAATGACAAACCGTCATAAATATGAACCAGTTGTCAAGCATCCAAATGTAAATCACGTGACCGTAGGGATGCTGCAACGGTCATAAGTGTGAAAAATGGTCGTAAGTCACTTTTTTCAGTGCCGTTGTAACTTTCAACGGTCACTAAATGAACTGTTGTAAGTTGAGGACTGACTGTTGTAGTTTGCACTGACTTATATTTGGATTGGATTTGAGTTACCTTTTCATGAACCCAACTGGAGAAATCCTCTAATCTGTACACAACTTTTGCTTTTTTTATTCACTTGACATCAACTTGATTTTCTCCTGCCTCCAAATCATCAATAAAGCGCTAGAGGTTTCACACTGATAATAAGAGCTCTGTTTATTAATTCATTACATTTCATTTTTCATTCATAAATTCAAGACAGCGTATAAAGCACTCTTCCTCCTATGTCTTTTTGCCCACAAAAAATGACATTCTAAAGTGTCACTGAGGGAGCGATTGGCCCAAATTCATTCGTTCATTCATGCCAATGTTGACTTATGCGTCCTGTGAAAATACCATATTATGTTTATTTTTCATACCAGGGTGTTGAAGCACTATAATTCCGTTCTGGGCTAATCATTTCCTGTAGATCAATTCATGACAGTAAAACATGCTGGGACAGGCAGTCTTTTGAGGAAGTTTGGTTACAGCCTGATCATGGGTATGCTTATTAGGGGAAGGGGGGGGAGGAAACCTCCTGCCGCTCCCTAATTCAGTTGCACTTCTAACTCGAGTAAATGCAATTACGCAATAGTAACTATAGAAGCGAAAACTATTGAAGCAATACTGATCTGTTTCCATATTATTTCTAGAAATTCCTTTTGCCACTTACCAATCTTCATTGTCATTCATTGACAATGTTCCTGCATTAGCCATGCGTGGAAGGCACAAATCAGTATGCAGTGACTGCATTACCCAAGGCGCAAACATCCTTCCCAAGCAAAAAGAGAGAAAGTGTCTCCAGGAACAGACAACAGTATCTCAGCAAGCTATCTGTGGCTTCCCATGTCCTAGTAGTTGGACAACAGGCATAGAAAGATCAGATTTGCCCCAGGAGAAGAGTCGGAGCATCTCATGGTGCCAATGATGAAAAAAGATAGATTTAATAATTCATATGACAGTGATGGCTAACCTTTTTGTTGTTGCGTGCCAAAGTGGGGGGAGCGCGGGGAGGTCACCCACATGCGTACCCACACCCATTATTCAATGTGCCCCACCCCCATGCATGCATGTGTGCCCCCAAACCCCGCCCCCACTTTTAACATGTGATGGCACGGTGGGCCCAGTAGGCCCATTTTTCACCCTCCCCAGGCTCCAGAGGCTTTCTAGGAGTCTGGGGAGGGCGAAAACGGCCTTCCCCATCCCCCCGGAGGCCCTCTGGAGGCCGGAAACAGCCCATTTCCCAACTTCTGGCGGGACCAGAAGGCCCAAAAATCAGCTGGCTGGTGCATGCATGCACGCTGGAGCTGAGCTACGGCAATGCTCACGTGCCCACTGATATGGCTCCATGTGCCACCTGTGGCACCCATGCCACAGGTTTGCCATCACGGGCATATGACCTTGTTCATACCACACATTATCTGAGTCAAAGATGGGAGAATTATCTGCTTCGTGAGCATTCTAACCCAGTTAATCCACTCTGACAACTAGCGGTTTTACCTCAACACAGTCCGGGTTGTTTTTCCTTGTGAATTGCTCAAAGCCTTTACCTTCCTTCTACAGGTAGTCCTCGACTTACAATATTTCATTTAGTGACCGTTCAAAGTTACAACAGAACTGAAAAGTGACTTATGACCATTTTTCATAGTTACAACCTTTTTGGCATCCCCATGATCATGTGGTCAAATTTCAGATGCTTGGCAACTGGTTCATACTTATGACCATTGCTGTGTCCCAAGGTCATGTGATCCCCTTTTGGAACCTTTTGACAAGCAAAGCCAATGGGGAATCCAGATTCACTTAAAAATTGGTGGCTAACTTATCAACTGCAGTGATTCACTTAACAACTGTGGCAGGAAAGGTTGTAAAATGGGGCAAAACTCATTTAACAAATGTTTCACTTAACAACAGAAATGTTGAGCTCAATTGTGGTCGTAAATGGAGAACTACCTGTATTCTCCATTGCAGCTAAGGGTTGGGGGATTGAAAGGGATGGGGTATGGGTAAGAAAATGCTGGGCATCATGGTATATTTTGGGAAGACAGCTTGCAGCCAAGCAATTTCATTTGACCAGCTTAATCCAGTGCCCCCAAAACATGGAAAAACTTCTTGTTCTCCTTTTCTTTCTCTTCCTCAATAGCATAAAGGACATTGTGCCCATAGATGGGATTCTGGCCATCATCTTCAAAAGATGCGTCATGTCTGTCCTTCTCCCACAAGACAAAGTAAACTTCATCTGTGTAAACTGTAAGTTTGTGAAAATACTGAAAACAACATTTAGGGAACTGGAGACCAGAGCCTTAGCCTTATACCTTATATGTCAACATGAATCCATCGTGAATAATGATGGTGGATACTATCACCTGCCACAGGCAGGAGAGAAATGGTAAGCTTAAGTTTCATCGCAGGATGAAAATCACAGGAGTTGGCCACGTGTTGCTGTCAAACGCAAAACAGTCACAAATTAAACTATTCTCATCACAGCCCACCAACCTCAGAAGAAGATACAAACATGAATGATCCACAAAATCAAACAAACTATATTGAAGTTCTGCCACTTGATGTCAATGGAAATGATCCATCACCAACCATCGAACAGAAAATGAAGGCAGATCTTTCATCTCCACATGTCTGCTGTCTTCTGGGTGCCTTAAAATCAAGGCGGATAGGAAAGACGGATTAGACATTGGATTTGCTAATCACAGACCTTTCTTTCTCATCTACATAGGCACAAATCATGGTACTGCAGGGCAAGTTCTGCAGCATATCAGAAGAGACTTCATGATTTTGGGAAGAGGATGAAGATTCTTGGAGTCCAGGCGATGTTCTCATCAATATTTACCATTAAAGATAAAGGCCTAGCAAAAGAATGGAAACTTTTTCAAGTGAACTAGCTGTCAAATTGGTGCATGCAACAGAGGCTTGGGTTTTCAATAGCGTTACAATCTTCAAGGAAGAGGCTTTGAGGTATGCAATTCACCTCACTAAGGGGGGAAAGTAAGTCTTTGGGCAGGAGCGGACTAACTTCGTCAGGAGGACTTTGAACTGAAACACAAAAGGGCACCAGTGTTAAGGCTATTGATGAGTAACAAATTGGGAAATATTGGATTAAATACAGCCGCAGTAGTTTGCCAAAGTAACAATGGAGGTACAGAGATAAAGAAAAAAGGGAAACTGAACATAGGGAGTCCAGTCTATTATCTTAAACGTCTATTCTTACAAATGTATGAAAAACAAGCAAAATGAGATGGATGTCATGAGACACAAAGGCAAGTATAATATAATAGGGTTTACAGAAACATGGTGGGATCAATCTCAACAGTGCTGCACTGGGCTTGAAAGGTACACATTATCTCAGAGGAGAAGGGAAAACAAGAGAAGAATTCGTATAATGATGTTTTATATATAGAATGAGCTTACCTGTATAAAGTCCAGCTGAACTGATGGTAGCATGAGTACTGTAAACTTCTGGGTTAGGATAAAAGGGCAAACTAAGGGATATCTTGCTATGAGGCTACTGTGTTTCACTCAATCTATTTATTAAACTAGATAATAATCCTATAAATCATGAACTGGTTGTGATAGGACATTTCAACTACCCAGACATTTGTTGGAAGATGAATCCTGCCAAATATTAGATGTCGCATAGATTCTTGATTTGGGTTAGTGAT